CCCCAAAACCCCAAAACCCCATACATAGAGCAATTCTTAGAAATTAGAAAGTTGTAAGATTACCTATTAAAATTAAAAATCTGAGTGAATTAGTACTGATTGATAAATAAAATTGAGAAATGGATTAAGTCAATGTCAAACTGAATTTAGATCAAGTGAAAAGATCAAATGAAAGAAACAGCTAATTCTAAAAATAGCAATCCTTATCATAGAGGAAAACAGTGAGATTCTCAACTGGCTCAGAGATAACTACACCTATCCTAAAATCCTCTTAATAACCATCAGAGATCGATGATGATAACTAACTAATTAACTTCCTAAAGAGAGTGGATAATGATAAATCAAGCAAAAACATGGTATCTCCAGGTGAAAAAACTAGCTCATCTACAGCTAGACATTCTAGAGTTAGCAGTATGTAAGAGGGGATGGATCCCTTAACAGAGCTCATTCGTAGACCTTCAACTGTATTCAAGTTTGGAGAACAGCAAGCTCTTAAAAAACAGATATCTCAGGCAGCTTTGGATAACTTTAAGCGTTAAAAACTTAGATAACTCAATAGAGAGGATTAGATATATGATCCAAAGGATGAATAGGACAAGTATATAGAGGAAAGAGAGCTGGTAAAGAACCTTGATAATTTTGATCACAAGATTGCCCCTAATGCCTTAAATCTATTTGCACAAAGTCTTTCAATGAAACTAAAAAATTCTACTATTAAATAAAACAAATAATCGATAAGCAAATAACTTCAGTAATAAAATGTAAAATAGGCAAGAATTAAGGATGACTTGGGACAGAATCAAGAATTAAATAAAAAATCAATTAAAGATATGGCTCAAGCAAATGTCAACTTAGTCAACTTGTAATTAATCATGCAAGATCCAATGAAGTTCGATTCTGACTATGAAAAGAGGGAAATTGAAAAATCCCTTAAAATTAGCAAGAATAGTAAACCTGTCTAGAACTAAAATGAAATCTTGAAATATGCCAGTGTTGATAACAACTGTGACTTGTTCTCAGAAGAAGCTAAAAAATCATTGACTAAATTTAAGATATATCGGCCAAAGGACTCAATATAGGAAAAGAGTCCTGATCTACTTAGAGAAGTAAAAACCACATCTAAAATAGCTTCAGAAACTGAATTTGATTGCCAGACTCTCAGAGACATGCCCCATAACCTTCATGATAATGAAGTTTTAGCGACTTAAATGGATTTATACTTGACAATTAATTTTACTGAAAATCTTGAGAAGGCGAGAATTAGACGTAAGCAAGAAAGAATGATGGAAGAAGAGACACTCAAAATGACCAAGGTAAAAGGCTTTTAGGAAACAATTAATACCTCAAATATCAATGAGAGAATGAAGATGGAGACTGAACTTTTGAATGAATACAAGAGACTAAGATAAAAGCTTTAAGAATAAAGGCAAGCAAGAGCTAAATTTTCAGCATTCAATACTCAAATCTATAACTAGTTGCAATAACTTAGAACTATTAATAAAGAGGAAGATGAATAAATAAAGAAAATATAATAGTCAAGTAGGTAGTAGCTAGAAATGAAAATGAGAAAATCAGACAAAGCTACTATGATAAGGGATCTAATGAGATTTGGAACTGAAAAGGACCATATTTAAAAATTGAGAGAGGAGAGATTGAACAAAGAGAATAGCGTGAATAAACTAAGGGAGATTAACACCGAAAGAATATATTATGTAGAGCAGGAGATGGAAATAATCAATACATAGATGAAGTTTATTAAAAATGTGCAAAAGGAACATTATCTTAAATTACTTAAAGATGGAAAGGATACCAGAGGAAAAGGGTTAATTTGGATTGTTGAATGCTTGAAGGATCTAGACATAATCATATTGAAGGAAATGATGCCATCATTTATAGATGAATCAAGTAAGGAATTTATAATGACTCTAGCAATGAGAGATTACTAATTAGGTAAATTAAGACTTGAACTCACAAAATCAAGATTGATATTGAGATAACTTGTAACACCAATCAGATTAACTACTCTATCTCAATAAGTTTCAAGACATAATAGTGCAATTAGAAATAAAAGAGAAAGAAAGTCTTCTCCTAGTAAAGAGGAGGATCTTAACTTTGATCAAGCTTTCAATGAATTCAACCAAACAAACATTCTAGAAAAATCTTCATTGATGTTTACTGAGTAAGGTTTCAAACCCATAAGGAACAGCTCAGTTTTCCATCACATTATTTCAATTAAAAATGACACAATACGAGACCTCAAGTAAAATCGAGAGAGTTCTAAGAATCCTTATTTTCATTCTGAAAAAAATGTAAACCAAATAATAGCCTAGAATATGTACATGCCTGTTGATTTAAATACTCTCAGCTACAGAGAATAAAATAACTTAGCACATGAAATTTAAGTTAATAATCTTTTCCATAAAAGGAATTAATCTTAATCGGACCAGAAGAGAAATATGTCGGCTAGAACAAAAAATAATGAAATAGAGGAAATGAATAGAAGGATTGAGTAACTTGAAGAGTTGATTAAAGAAAAAGAAGATGAAATATTAGAGATTAAGAAAAATGAGATTAGGCGTTTGGTCAAAGATTATATGAATCCGAACAGCTAATTAAGGAAATTAGAAATTGATTACAAGCAATTTTTCTTATGTTTGTATGGAGATACATATTGGGAAATGGAATTCTTTAAACAAGTCAAAGTTGCTGAGAATATTAAGAAACCAAAATGATTTTTTTGTTATATTTATCACTATTAGATGTTTTTCTAATTTTAAATTCATCATCTAGGGGTTTTGGGGTTTTGGGG